CATTTATGTAAAATTTATTTTAATAACTCAACAGACCTTTCCAACAAATAATCAACATACAGTTGTGTTCATGCGCTGAATAAATTTTTAGTTGATTTACTCAATTTAGTACAATTAAGGACTTTGAAACAATTAATTAATTTAAAACAACAAGATTAGCTTTAAAATATGATATTATTTATAGTTTTTCGTCCTGCAATAAAGGAGTTCGCGTGGCCTAATGGATAAGGCGCTCGCCTCCGGAGCGGGAGATTGTGGGTTCGAGTCCCACCGTGAACGTTTCAAAAATACTTTTTGTTTCCCTTTTTCGTTTATTTTGGTATTTTTCTTTTGATTTTTCCCTATCTCTTGTTGGGTTCTTTATTTGGCAGGTTTTCTTCATAAAGTGCTGAAATAACCCTTCAAAAATATGCAGAAACGTTTATTGAAATTTATTTTACAAGAAATGGAAATGTCTACATCTCAAACTGCATAAACTTGCATATTTGAAACAGAAACTCAATAGAACTTTTCATCTAGCCTTTTATTTTCAACTTAAAAGATAACTTTATTTGGTTCAATATGAAAATCCGATGATCAGTTGGTTTTTTCCGTGATCTTGTAGTGAAATCCGTCTGGAAATCTTATGATTGGAGAACGAACAATTTTTCCTCCCTTGACAATAGCCCATCTGCACGGATAGTAATGAGAATGGTTAGTTCTAATAGTTCATAACTCTTAAGCAGTTGTAATAATACAAATGCGAGCACGCGTAAGTGACATTGCTTGTTCAACCCGAAGTGAAGAAATCCCATAAATATGATGCAAAAAAGTACCTGTACTTTGTGACGAGGACATGTAGAAAAGTTGCCAGCAGCACCCTACTATATTCTGCACCAGCACATTGCTTCATACCAGATCCAAATGGCATAAAACATTTAGCTATAACAGACGGTTCAAGTTCCTGTATAATTAGAGTGAAAAATCTGTTATTTCCGTCATTGTAAAACTTGGTTTATAATGGAAGGGTGCTTGATCGATGTGCTTATAAGTCCACAAGGATTTTGACGAGTGATGTGGAACTCAGAAGTAGTCGTTACAAAGAACAAAAATGTTGCACACCTTCCAGCGCCATGGATTGAATTTAAGAGGATCCTCAAATTTGTTGGAGTTGAGATGAAGGCCAGCAGTGGCAATCATAATCACCCATCCTGAAGGAATTGTATATCCTACAAGAAAATATTTTTTGTACTGTTATTTAATTTCGGAATAGTTGAACACATTATGCGAAAATGCCTATCTGTTTTTCGGTTTCTATAATTATATATATGTACCATTTACTGGAATATCTTGTAAAGCTCGACGAAAGAATCCAGGTGCTATGTTTCCGAGCCTTAAAACTTCATTGATAACCTACATATATGCAGTTTTTCATTAGACCAGTGTCAGAGTAGACAGCAAAATATAGTAATAAAACTTCATTGTCTTCTCAAAAATGATGTATATGTATGGACCTGAAGTGTAAAAGTCATAGATTTATAGTCATTCCATGTGAGATGGGATTCTGATTTTTCTCGTTTCTCGAGGATCGCCTCGTGTTCAGCCTGGAGAGTGAAAATTGATTGATGACTATAAACTATATATAATCGAGACATAAAGACAGTTCATATATAGGTATATTCTTACAGTTAATTCCTTTAAAACCAAGGGATGTTCTGCAAGTAACTTGAAAGCTAATGCTAGTGTGGTAGAAATGGAATCAGAAGTGACAAAGAACAGTCCAAACATCAATTGTACAATGAAATCCTCGTTTAAGAACGACTCCTTTTTCATATCTTCGATCATATGATCAAGCATATCTCCGTATTGCCTCTCAGGCTCTTCGAGCCTAGTTTTCACGATGTCCTTCATCATTTCTCGTACTTTCTTGTGAGTCTGAACATTTTTTCTTAGTCAGAACAAACCATTTCCTTGTCATTTTTAGACTAATCTCCGGGTAAAATATACATGTACACGTACCTGTAGGCATCTGTGATGTGCGGTACCAGGGATATTAATGGGAAACGACATTAGACCATCGACCAAGTCCCTGAACAAATCACTTATCTTGAGTGGTGCATTCTCAAGATCACCACTATATAATTGCCTCGCCGCGTAATCAATAGCCATCTGTCATGGAAAATGAAAGTAATCTGCTATGTTATGTATCCATAAATAATCCAAAATCTATAGAAAGTAAGTGATACTTACTGTAACCGAAGCACTTTTCACTTCAACGGATTCTTGACTCGACCAATTCGAAAGAGTTTTTCGAACCATATCTTCCATTTGAGGGAGGAGCTTCTCCCTGAGAGCTTCCACGCCAAAGTGATTTAAAGTCAAGTGTCGTGTATATTTTCGCGACGACTGGCTGGCTTGATCAAATACTTCAGCAAAAGTATCCATTGACCATGTGTCGACTAATTTTCCATCTTGTCGAAGAAGAAAATGATTGAATTCAGGATCTGCTGTTATTATCACTGGCCTGCCTGCTACATTTGTTCGAAAAATAGGTCCATACCTAATACATACACGGGTAGTTTAACACATAAAAACTAAATCATTCCCGACATCCAAAAGAATATTATTAACATTTTCAGATCAATGTAATTTAAAGAAATAAGTTTGTCTGGCCCTCTAATTAAGCTTTTAGACAAGGAGATGTAGCTTTAACATCAGAGCCCGAAATAGTTCTCGAGTTCAAGTCTCTTAGCCACTTATTATGAAAATCGTGCATATATCAGGTGAGGTGAAGTGACGTGCTGAAGACGTAATTTAAATAAATAAGTTTGTTGATTTCTAACCGCTTAAACATTTAGATGAGATGATTCTTTACCTTTTCATTCTCTTTTTGATGAATGGTGGAAGGTCCAAAGAGGCATTTGGAATGACTAACTGAATCGTTTCGCCGATAAGAGGGAGCCCCATGGAACCTGGAGGAAGAACTCCTTTGCATTTGGGATTCCTCCATCTGTAAATCCAGTGAGTAATATAAACTGTAAGCAATCCCACAATCAAGTATCCGACCGTTGACAGATCCAATGCTGCCATTCGACTTACGATGTTCGAGGAGTTTAAGGTTTCCATAATTTGTTTCAAGAACAGGCAATGAATGAACAAGAAAGCTGATGGAATTTGAGAAAAATGCTTGGAAAAATTTAGAGATTGAGAACTGATGAAAGTTTTTGGTATGAAAAGTAATCTCCGGACCAAATCATATATATAGAGAGTAATCTAAATCAGCAAATAAATTTGAGAGGAGATAGTAACAAAGAAGTAAATATAGTTTAATTTGGTAGCCTCCAGCAGTAGGAATATTTGTTTTTGGAGCTTTTAATCTGTAGCAAAAAAGACACAGAAGGGGATCAAACTTGCCAATTTGCTTCAGATTTTGTTTATTGTTCTCTTATTTGTTTCTTTTGCCTCGTTAAATGTAAGATGGTATTACAGCCGGCAAAGCTCTCGAATTCAGGTCAACATTTTTGCATCAAATTTTATCTTTACTCTTCAAGTAATTACTATCAGAACTGATCTCTTGTACACAGTGAACGGAATAACAATTGTCCACTACTGACGTGATGTCACCATCAGTGATCGTGTAATTATTCCCGTCCATGGTGGGCAGGAAATCATTTCTATTTGCCTACTGAAAAATATTTTGTCACGCTTTCGTATTTATTATTTTTAATATATGATGGATAAATAAGTCATTCTGGGCAAAATTCGTTATCGAATATGAGATGTGTTAATTAACGGAAGTGCATCGAAAAAGGTTAATGTCATCAGTGCGACAAAGATTGAAAACTTCAAGTAATATTAAAATATAATACAACTAATAAAAAATGTGATTTGAATATAACTCCAATAGAAAAATAGTAAGGTGCCCTTTCAAACTAAAATAGCACAAGTCAAGTTTCATTATCCGATTGTTACTTTTTGTTTAACAAGAAATAAATGTAAGTGAAACAAAATCGCCACAAACATTAAAAATTGCTTGAAAGAAAAATCCCACATCATGATTGTGTCCTAAGTTCTATGTTCATATATACTCGTATTATTTGAATTGGAGTTCGGTTCTTCGATCTACAATGTGAATAGCACGTACAACATCCTTAGTGCATAAAATGCACATGTTAATGAAAATAATGTTGCAATATTTTGAAATGGCAAGCGATAATCTAATATTAGATTACATGCAACATGCAAATATTTATTATGCTTGTGCTTCGAAACTCATGATTGATTCATTCAAGTCTTGACTAGGTTAATTTGGATTTAGATTTTGTTAATTTGACTATTTATTCAACTGGACGTCAATTGAAAGTCTTTAATCAAATTCAGTCAATTTGAACTTAGGCTCCTCGCATATAAGAAAATCACATAATTTTAAAACGGTTGTGCTACATGTACATAACAACTTATATAATGATTTACCAACATATAACGTGGCGAAATTTAATTGGAGCAAAATCTCATCAATCAAATAATTTCTTCACTTACATTTAAACGCATCATCATTATGTAAAACACGATGTAAATAGTTATGTACAATAATTATTTTCATTTTCGAAATGACTTTTTATGGTTAACCAATTTATTGAGACGACAAGGAAGACCAGATGAGGAGTGCGTCGAGTTCTGCTATGGGTACAAAAATTCAAATTTCTGAGCGTAGAAAATCAATTTTTTAATCACATGGGGTGGACCCCATCCGACTAAAATTCAAATTTCTAGTGAAAATTCTTTAGAAAAAACATGTATTCACCACACATTTTTGGAGTGCGTCAAAGACGAAACAACACGAAATATCTTCTCGTCAATTCGTAATATAAAAGATTCTATTTGAATTACCTCTCAAAGTTCAACACTTCTCTCAGATCTTCAATCTCACTTTCTTCCAAATCAAAATTCTACTCAATCGTATACAATCTAACTAAAGTATGTCGAAATTGGGATTTAGCTTATCGTTACTATTATTATTAATGATTACACTCTTTAGTTTCGGTGGAGCGGCCTTGGGATCTCGGAATTCAGGAGAAGCGTACGTGACGCTTCTGTATGGCGATGAATTCTTGCTGGGCGTTCGAGTCCTGGGGAAATCGATTCGCGACACGGGTTCTACCAAAGACATGGTTGCTTTGGTATCTGATGGAGTCTCCAACTACGCCAAAAAACTCCTTCAGGTCATCTTTTTATCAATTTCTCTTCCCTTGTAATGTTAAAGCAACTGCATATGTTTTTTTTGAATCTGTGAAGTTTTTTCTTAGTTTCTAAGATGTTTATGGTGCTGGAAAATTTGTTGCTTTTGAATTGGGATTGGAGAATTATTGATGCTTTATTTGGTGGATGGAATTGGGAGCTCAAAGTCCAAAATTCTGGAAATCCTGAATTGCATTCAATGGTGATTTATAATGTCATTGATTTGATTTTGCGTATTAAACTTCACTTAAGTGGCTCATATTATATAGTTTCAATTACCGGAGGAGGTTGCTGTAATAGACAAGAGTGAGGTGATGAAAATACCATCCTTTTTGATTACAATTGATAACTTTTAATAATGTTTTACAGTGGAAGAAGGAGTTGGGCAGTGTAGGGACTGAATAAGATACTGCCCACTCATCTAGGTTTTATGCTGACCATCTAAGAAGCCGAAGATTTTGTTTAAAGCTATCTTGATACTTGGAAGAAACTAGTATTAAATTCTATTATTTTGAGGTTCAATATGTAGTGACTCCATTTAGTAGAATGGTTGTTTGAGCTATTGAATATTGATGCTAAGATTGCACATGAAAATACTGCTACCTCTGTTGATTGATTTCACGTGAGGTTTTTGGTTTCTGTTATGCAGGCTGATGGTTGGATTGTGAATACAATTAGTTTACTGGAAAATCCTAATCAAGTTCGCCCGAAGAGGTTTTGGGGTGTTTACACGAAGCTAAAAATATTTAACATGACTAATTACAAGAAAGGTGACTCTTTGTCTTAAATTCTGTTTGCGAAGTATAAAATATGAAGAAGTAAACTTGTTGGAGTGAAAATTTAAATGAAGTTCTTTTGGCTTCCAAAACATGTAGGAGTGATTTCCCCATGATGTCTTCTGTTGAAGTTCACTTTATTTAATGTATATGGCTTAGTGAACTGTTGCTAATCTTCTCATTTATTTATTTAAATTTTGACAGTGGTATATCTTGATGCTGATACTATTGTGGTTAAGAGCATTGAAGATCTTTTCAAATGTCGTAAATTTTGTGCCAACTTAAAACATTCGGAAAGGCTGAATTCTGGAGTCATGGTTGTTGAACCATCTTCAGAACTTTTCAATGACATGATGACCAAAGTGACCACTTTGCATTCGTACACTGGAGGTGTAGTACACTGTTATTGCCCAGTGCCAATGGTCTTTTAATGCTAAATAAGGACGTAATACTTTTGTCTTGACCTATCATATTGATATTCTTTGAATGTTATTGCATGAAATTTACCTGATTTTTTATATAACTCTTAGAATATTATTCCATATAAATATTACAAGTTGAAATTTGTTTAGGCCCTGTTTGATCCAAATTATTATAGAATGTGAATGAAAAATATAGTCGTCATTGGGGCCACACAAGAGATAGAAAATTTGAATTTAAATGTTGATGTGATGGATAACGGTCATATTTTTCATTTTAATGAGATAATAATGTAGATCAAACGGGGGCTTAATATCACAAATGTTAAAAAAAAAAAAATGTTCTATACTGTCCCAAAAAAAACATTGACACTTTGACTAAGTCTTGAAGTAAATTGAGTAGTAGTAATGGGATTGAAGACATAGTAATTATTAATTGTTCCGTTTTGTATTTGTAAATGAAGAATTTCTCGTTGTGGTATTGGATATTGTGTAGTTGTCTAGACATTGAATTACTACTAGGCATAGGACCTACTGTGGTCACTGGTCAAAGTATTTACATGACATGATTTTATATCTAAACATGTTTCAACTTCACTTCATTTCAGAATAAATGTAGCATATATGGAGATGGGATGCAAAATGGGATTGGTATTCCAACTATTCTATGCATATGTGCATGGAAGCTGATGCTATATTAAAGTATTCTTTCCATATAGATTAAGCTATAACTGGAAGCAAAATGAATAAATAAATAAAATCTTGAAGAATAGTTTACATTTTATTTGTGAGTTTTTTTTCCTATACCAAGTATCTCACTTTTCTTCGTGGATCGAACAGGTGACCAAGGGTTTCTCAACTCATATTACTCCGATTTTGCCAATGCACGCCTTTTTGAGCCAGATGCATCTCCAGAGGACTTGAAGTCTAGACCTGTTCCCCAAATGGAGAGACTTTCCACTTTATATAATGCAGATGTTGGCCTTTACATGCTTGCTAACAAGGTGACATCCCTTGCTTCTAATAAGAATAGATGTTTGCTTGTTTTCACTATTTATGTTATTAAGTAACCTCGTACACTCCAAAAGCTGCTTATCAAGGTAGCTTTGGTTATGGAGAGGGGTGTCCTGTACATCCAATGTGTTCGTGTATGCTTCCTTTATTTATTTTTACTTATTGTTTAGAGGGTATCATTATGTCCTTAATCATTTGAGATTAGAGTGAAGTGAGTGCTTCAAGAGCTGAAAATGTGTAAATTAATGTTGCTGGGAGCTTAGATAGTATTAAACTAAGCTATGGACTCTGCTCTTGTATATATGTCAACAGTCATTTATGTGCATTTATCACATTAAGCCAGACATATTACTTATTTTATACTCCTGTCAGAATTTATAGCGCAACTCAAATACGTAAGGCGTCAATTTTTTAGAGGTTTGACAAGAAAGTGCACAAAGATTTATGATCACCTTCAAGAATGAATTTCCATCAGTTCCTAGGCTTTTGGACATTTTAACATACATAACTAGTTTTGAGGTTGTTTACCATGGATACATACATCCTGAGTGAAGCTAACCATGAAAAAAATTTCTACTAAGTCTAGTTGGAACCAAAAGTAATGCAGAGCGGAATTGGAGTTTTTGAAATAAGAATAAAGTTGAACAAACTCAAAAATTTGTAGTGAATAATTTTATTAAAATGTATTGGTCATTGAAATAGTTACAAAGTCTTTATTTATATAAGCAAAAGAATCTCCAAATCCTAATAGTTGTAAGGAAGATAACAATTAAAACCTAAAAGAAAAAGTAATAAAACCTAAAAAAATAATAAGTCCTAATATGAACAAGAAATAATTATGTGTCCTATTTGAGATAAAACTATCCTACATCAATTTCTCCCACTTGGAAAAAAAAACTTGTTCTCAAGTTTGGTTGGAAGGAAAATCTCCAAATTTTCATTGTGAGGATTCGAACTTAGCTTGGACTTGAGAAAAATCTATAGCCACTTGTTGCTGTGTTGTGGACTCGTTGAAATGACCAACATCCATAGCAGTCAAATCTATAATTTTTTGTCAGTAGCATCTTCAAACCTATCCATCCTTCATTTCAGATTCTAGAGTGGTTAGTAATTTTGCAATCCTCTTATTGTCATCATGAGGATGCATATCACTACCACCTTAGGTGGACATCAACCAAGAGAAAAATCTTGCTCTTATACCAATTTTGGCGTGGAAGCAGAATTGAAATCAGTGAAACAAGAATTTAGTTGAATCAACTTGAAAATTTGTAGAGAATAAGTTTATTGTAATGAATTGGCCAGTGAAAAAATTCTAAAGCCTTTGTTTATTTAGGCGTAATAATCTTCTAACCCTTATAGCTTAAAAAGATAAGTATTTAAAACTTAAAAAAAAAAAAAATTAATCAAAAGCTTAAAAAGAATAAATAAACCCTAATCTAAACAAGAAAGAAAATCCTATTGCAAAAAGAAATAATTCCCTGTTCTATTTGTAAATGGAATTGTCCTACATCAAAAGGGCGTATTGAAGAATGAGTAGACAAGGACAACATCATGAAATTTTTTTAAACATAATATTTTGTATGCTAAAATGGATACAATGTATAAAGTGCAACCAAAATAAAGAAAGAAAGAGAATTTTGGGGTCAGATGGATGCTATTGGCTTGTCATCTTGATACTGAAAATTCCTATGAATTTCTTTTGAACTACTCCCTTTGTGCGAAAATCATGATAGAATATGTTGTTCTTTGGTCAAAATGGATCCAGTCATGGGGGTACTAGTCCTCCATGAGAATATTACATTCTTGTTAATCCTCATTAAATCAAATGGGTGGAAGTTTTACTGAACTAAAGCTATAAATGTCATAGTAACTAGCTCCATTAAGAGGGTAAGTTTGGAGAAATGAAATAAAAATTTGAATTTGTCTATGTGGAGATCAAACAAGCAGATTCTTCTGGGAAGGAGCAACATCCATCTTGATACAGAGAAATTCTATGAATTCCTTTCGAACTACTCCCCATATGCGAAAATCATGATAGAATTTGTTGTTCTTTGTTCAAAATGGATCCAGTCATGGGGGTACTAGTCCTCCCTGAGAATGTTAAATTCCTCTTATATCCTCAATAAATCAAAACGGTGGAAGTTTTATTGTACTAAAGCTATAAATGCCATAGTAACTACCTCCTTTAGGAGGGTAAGTTTGGAGAAGTGATAAAATTTGAATGTCTGTGGAGATCAAACAGGCAGATTTTTGGGGAAGGAGGGATTGCTTATTTAAAGAAAAGAAGACCCTTGGTTGGTCCTCTTGGAATGGCCAAGATTCTGAATAATGCAGTAGTTTTAATCTGGGAAAAACAAAATTTTTATTATTTATTATATTAAGAGGAACGCTTCAGACGAAAGAGTCTGTCCTGAAATGTTGTAAAATCTATGTTCTTTCCATGTTTTGATTCCTTGTGGTACTATTTGCAGTGGATGGTGGATGAGGAAGAACTCCGTGTTATTCATTACACACTTGGCCCTCTAAAACCCTGGGATTGGTGGACATCTTGGCTTGTTAAACCTGTTGATGTCTGGCAGGTATATCATTTTCTTTCTCATTCCATTTTCATAAATTTAGTTTCTGCTTTGTCGTTCCGTCCACTAGTCCTTTTTATTTCCTTCTCATCTTCCACAATACATCACCTAAAGTTGGTCTATTCTTTTTATCAAGTGCTAGATATCATTTTCTTTTTATCTCCGTTCTGTTTTACCTGTTGCCATGCATATTGTTGTGTTACTGTTTTTGGCTGGGGAGGGTAAGCTGGCATTGATTACAGAGCTGAGATTCACATTTCCACCCATTGTATGACTTTCTTACGATTGATAAAACTGCAGGATGTTAGAATAAAGCTTGAAGAAACTCTTCCTGGGACTGGAGGTGGCAAAAATCCAAATGACAAATTGCTAATTATCTCTCTTTTTCTACTTCCAGTTCTGTTCTTGGTTTTCTGTTATTATCGATCTTTCCTACAGGTTAGCATATAAAATTTTCTATTAATGAAAATGCTCGTTAAAAATGTCTTTAATGATTGTGTCAAACTGTTAATTGTATTCCAGACAAGATCACTGCTTGATCATATTAGACACCTCTACTACATGTTGAGGTCTGGAGGAGTTGGTTATTCCTCGGTCACTTCTTCTAATATCAACTCTAACCAACAGGTTTGTGTATTCTTCTAGTTTTTCACATAAATCATGTTTCAACACATTAAAACAAGAGCATGATTATCCTTATTTCATAATCTACAATTTTATGTTCTTTTCTCTCTTTCTTTTGTGTATAAGATATGGGATGTCATTAGTCTCTATTCTGTCTTGTCTATAATAACCCTTTTTATGCCAGCCATGACCCTTTTTATGCCAGCCATGGCTATCTTTTTTTATATACCCGTTATGCTTTTCTGATTTACAAATAATATTATATAGCGGCTTTCCAACATTTCTGACAAATTTTCACATGATGTTCTACTGATACAGTTCCCAAATTTGGCGTACAGCAAAGTGCCTATTTTCTTGGGTGCAATGTCAGTTGTTGTGTGTTTTACGGCTGCTATGGTGTCCCTTGTGCTTTCACTATCAATTGTCCCTCGGCAAGTAATGCCATGGAGTGGTTTTCTCCTTGTGTTTGAATGGACATTCACAATTTTCTTCTTATTGATTGGAAGTTATCTGCATATAGTCCACCGATGGGGAAAACTTGTGGCCAATCAATCAGCGTCCCTTTCCCCGCATCCTGAATCTGTTGAATATGATTCTGGAAAAGGTACATACATTGCAAGGAGTACCGAGCTTACCATTCTTGTTATCTTTGAATGGCAGTATTATTCATAAATCTGTTTGTATTTTAGGTCATTTCCGACAGATGTCTTGTGATTTCGCTACATGGTATTATGGATTAGGGGCAGCATTTCTGGCTTTGGCAACTCCTCTTTTACCTTCTGTTTTGGGGGTCACTGCTCTATTTTTAAGGTATTCTGCTGTGATTTATGCATTATCTTTACATTGCTTGCCATGCTATACAAATATTAGATTGTAGAATCAGAAACACTGCTATGCGTTATGTCTGATTTTTACCTCTTATTATGTTTGAAGAAATCGAACCTGGCAATTACGCGATTAGGTGATGCAGTACGCCAGTAATTTCATCTGCTTTCTTTGGCTTATATTCTCAGTTCTTAATTTATTTAATCTGGGGGCAGTGGCACAATAGTAAATTGTATTTTATTTTTGGATTTGGAGATTAAATGAATAACTTGCGAGAAAAGAGAAGAGATTGAATATAGATACAAAGATGACAACGAAGTCCCTGCGGGTTCATTATTGAAGATTAATTCAAAAAGGCAGTGGATTTTCTAATTGCCTGATGCCTGTTAAGGACTTAAAAATATGAAAGATGTTTCGTGAGGAGAAACCCTTTCTTAATAATTTAAAATGAGAACCCCATTAATCAGTTTATGCCTTTTCTTTTCCTTTGAAGGGCTTCTTCGCCTTGGAGATGAACTACGTTGATAATCTGAAATTCTGAGTTTGAAGCTTTTGAGAATTTAAATCCTGTAACTTTCAAATTCCTTTGTTCTTCTTGCCATGTACCAAATAACTCAGTTGCATCTGGAATACAAGAATTCTAGGCCCAAATTGTCTGCAAGGAGGAATGACAAGGTTGAAATCCATGAAATGGTGACAAGTGAAATGGACCCATAGAGTGATGTATCTTCCATCGATAAGAAATACTTGTTGGGAATTATAATCTTGGACAGTCATTGCTCTATACATTTTGGTAGAGTTGAATTGGACCAATAGGTAAGGTGCAAAAAAAATCAGTATGTCATACCTACTATGCTTCCAGTCCTGTAGAAAGCTCTAATGTTACATTTGCTTGAGATTAGCCACAAGAGGCTCAGTGGTGATATATTATTTGTGTTTGTGTCACTTGATTGTATTGTCCTTGGCATGCCAGGTAGTCGGCTATCCTGTGATGTCTCTCCTATTAATTTATTTTGTCACCTAACTCTATGGGTGTAATCTGTTTGAACAGTGAGCTCTGGAGAACAGCAAAACACATTGGTGTGCACAACAAAAAACTGATGCCTCCCAATTTACTTCTTTTTAGAATTTAATTTCAATGAAACAATGCCGCTTAAGGAATAAGAGAGTTTTTTCCATTTCATGCGAGGAACTGAGCTGATAAATGAACCAAGGTACTAGAAGCTTAGTTTGAAATCGTTTCATTGTGGCTGGTAAGAGATCTGTTTGTTAGACTAATGAGCGGAGCTAGAATTTTAGAATGAGAAGGTTTATCATGCTTCAATCAGCTGTTGCCTTTTCAAATAAGCTAAAAAATAAGAAAATAATGAAAGTGCACATAGTTACTGAACTCAACTAAAGCTCATTTTAGATTAGTTTGTTAGTAAGGTTTACAAAAGATTTCTAAAAGTTGTGGTGGAATCTATCAAAGCATAAATAACCTATTCCTCGAATTGAATTGACTTGTCTGCACTGCAATAGGGAATTCTAGCAGAACTATTCTGTGTACCTCATTTTTGTCTTTACGGGCATAGATTTTTTTAAAGAGCCAAAAAAGCCACCTTATGTTATATCCTCTACAACGAGACAGTGAGAGATGAAATTCCATGAAAAGGTGACTTGTGAACAGTCAACTCCCCAATTGTAAGAATTGTTGAGAATTTGTATTAAACAAATGTGCCCTACGCTCATTGTGGCTTTTTTAACTGACCTAAATTTGATAGTATTGAGGTCAGGGTTCCTCAGCATCTTTACGCTGGGATCCATCTCTATCACAAATATCTTTTCGCAATTGAAGTTCTAGAAGAATAAAGTGTCGGGTTAAAAAATAAGGAGAACATACTTCCCTGGTGTGCTTTCATTCTGTCAAGTCTGCTGTTTAAATGCATTAGAGGTTAGCCAAAAGACATGAAATGGTGTTTTCCGTATAATTCCACTTAGTTGTAGTATCCTTTGGATAGATAGAAGTTAGCAAACCTTGCGTGATCTTGGACATTAACCCATGCACACCTAACTGCTTCAAAAGTATAGAACAACAGACTGAAGTGAAAACTAAAATTTGGGGGAATAGTCTCATTTGTTAACAAAATTTATACTTCCACCACTTGAATCTTCACACTTGTGAGATATTTTTATTTTGATATTGGCTTTCACCCTTGTTTTGTGGTTACACATTGGTGCCTTATTTTCTACTTTCTTTGTGCCCATGTATGGGCATATACATCTACAGTTACTACAGCTACTCACGCAGAATATATAAGATTATCTCATAAAGCAATTAAACCTAGTTTCACCTCCATTTAGGGGCTGTTATGGTATCAAGTCAAAGCTTTAAAAACCAATTGCTTGACTTTGCTCTGATCATTCCCAATCCAAGCGTGAAGTGAACAAGTAGGAACACTCTTAGCTTTTACTTAAATTAAGCCCATGTTTGATGGCCTTAAATTCAACACTTTTTTTTCTACATACTCATTTTCAATGACACATTCATACAATAAAATATTCTGCACGTAAACTCAAAACTTTTCCTACTTTTTAACCACACATTATACAAAAATTCACTATTCAAAACATTGTTTTCTCCAAATAATTGCCATCAAACAGGGGCCAAGTGTTCAAGTAGGACTCAAAAGTGTCCAGTCATAGATGAACAGCTGTATCATTCTATGGCATTTAAGGTCTTTCTGGATCGAACTTTTCACTTTTTATTTATAAACTAGCTTGATCCCTTTTATTACTTTGTTCAACTGTTAAGGTTGGGGAGGTGCCAAGTGACTCACATTCTAGTCACACCATCTACCCCCAATTTCTCCGCATGTCAAGGACTCAAGTTCAAATGACCTTCATGCAACACATGCACGATAAGTTTAAGTTGCCTTTCCAGACTCTCAATCACTTCTGTGTATAGTTTCTTGAACTGGATCAGTGCAATACAAGAAATATCCAATTTCTGATGTGATTCTATTTCCATGAAATTCTGTTGAATTTTGACATATTTTGAATAGTTTAATTTGCTCAACTTGGTCTTGCATTTCTTTTTTTCCACAATTGAGTAGGTTTACTTGTGGATCTATACTGTGTTTGCTATAAGATTTGGCATGCATTTTTTAATCTGTCTATTACACGTTAAGTGAACAGAGCTATATTTAATTTCAGTCAATAATACATACATACATGCTTTAACAGGTTAGGTTTGATGGTAATGGGAGGCCTTATTTTGGCATCATTTATGACATATGCTGCAGAGCACCTTTCAGTTAGAACATTTATGAGGGGTTATGAAGACAGGGATGCACAAAGAGCCAGGAACATATGTTCTTTCTGTTAGTAGTAGGCTACTTTTCATGTTGTTAGCTAAATGTTATCGGCAGCTATTCTTGTTTTGTCTGTAATTTGTTTTAAACATATTCTTGGAAATTTTCCATTCTAGTGCTGTCCCTTTTGAGTAGGCTGGTCGTACTTTACTGTCAGTTGTAATCTATGCTTGTTACAAGCAATTGGGTAGATTTCACCTTGAAACTGACTTCCAAGGGAGGATGCTCAATATGTTTATAAGTCAACACGTCAAGCATACAGTCTGTGCCACCTTCAGAATCGACGTCTATGGCAGCCCATTTCTCAATTGGATGACTCAGCGAAGCAGTCTTCTACTTTTTAGTCCTCTCCAGGTGCTCCATCTCGAATGAGGGTTCATCCAAGAAGGGGTGCCTGCTATAATCACAGGCACTTGAGTAGAAATCATTCTAAAAGTTGGCTTGTAAGTGAAGACTACCCTATATGCTTATAGGTTCACAAGGCTGCCTTGGAGTCTTTCTGCGATTGATTGGAACTTGAAGTAGCTTTTTTAAGGTGATTTTCTGTTTTACAATTTTTTAATCTAAAATTTGGTCTAGCTTTAAGAATGTTGTATGCAATGCTAAATTATTAATGAATCAAATGAAAATATTCCTGCCTTTCCAGTTGCTAGAAAATTATACTATGGTTGGTTAATTTTTTAGAATGTGTTCAAACTTTTCTTCCTTCTATTGGAATTGAATCGAATCACACTACTCACCCCTAAATATGCCATTAGTTGATGTAACTGGTTTTGAGATCCTGAAAGTTTGAGGATAGTTATGTTGAAGAGGGATTTTAAAGTTCATTGTTATTTGAATTTACATATCAAAGTTTTATTTTTAATTATTTATTGAGGTTGCACCTATTGAGGATACTAACTTTTTATTATTATTATTTTAATTTGGGAAAACATACAAAAATATTCTTAAAATTAGGCATCTTTTCAAAAATCATATGAAAAGTATTTTGGAAGTAAAAAATACTGTGTAAAGTTAAGTGTCATTTTTCAAAATTAAATATCACTTTTTTTTTATTAAAAATGACATACAATGTCACTTTTATTGAAAAGTGATAGGAATTTTAAGAAAGTGACAAACTTTAAAAAAATGTGACAATAATTTTAAAAAATATTACAAAATAAAAAAAGACAAATTCAAAAAAAAAAGGTGACAATAAAAAAAAATAACAAACACAAAAAGCGACAGTAATTTTTAAAAATTGATACAAATTAAAAAAAAAGTGATAAAAAAAAAGACGAAAGATGGTGATTTTCTCATTGAATAATTAGTATCTATTTAACTCTTTTAAGAATTTTTTGTAGAAATTTAGAAATAGCAACAGTTTTTAATTGAAGATGAGATAGCAGTAAAATTATTATATTTCACACATCAATATCATTCATGAAAGCGAACCAACCAAATTGAACCCTTAAAATTCAATATTTACAATGCAACCTTTATAGGCCATTTATGATTTTTCTTACAATTACGTAGAATTTGGAATAAGAATTTTTAAATATAAAAAGGAAAAAAAGAAATCAAACGAGCAAGTCAACTTTGACACAAATCTTTTGGCATGTACAGTTCACTTTGACAAATGTTATGTGAAGTGCACAAATCTAACACTATCTACTGATTCTATCTCTATCAACCACACTGCAATGGCTTCGAACACCACCAAAGAGGTTCTCACCTACCTCTCTCCAGTCATCAAACTATACAAAGATGGCACTGTCGAGAGGCTCATCGGTTCACACCATATTCCTCTATTGCTGAATGACAATGCCACCGACGTAGCTTCCAAGGACAAAAACATTTCGCCAGTGGTTCAAGCCAGACTATACCTCCCAACACTGACAAAACCAAACCAAAAGCTCCCAGTTTTGGTTTATTACCATGGCGGTGGATTTTGCCTCGGGTCCGCTTTCACTGTCCTCAAGAACTGTTACATTAACATATTAGCAGTTGAAACAAAAGCTTTAATCGTTTTTGTTGAATACCCTTTGCCTATGCCTATGACACCCTTTGCAACCGTCCTGTGGCATATGTACTCGATCTTATAATACCCTATAAATTGGAAGTGACAAAAATCCAAAAAAGTGACAAATAATATTAAACAGAAATCTAAATAGCATTAATTGTACGTCTCATCAAAATTTTAGAATAGATCGAGGGGATAGTTGATTTTCTTCTGCATATTGTTTCTTTGTGATTATATTTCACTTCTATTAACTATCACATCAAATTGGATTTGGAAGCACTTCAATAAAGTGACAAAATTTTTTTTTAGAAAAAAAAGGGTAACAAAATTAATAGAAGTGACGAAAACAAAAAAAATCAGACATCATATTATAGCCTGAATTTGTATGATGGTTACTATATAGTCTTATGAACTATATATCACTGACAAATCAATAATTGAAATTCCTACAAGCACTACAAAAAGCTGACATCATATTTACCATACAGCATGACAATAGAATCTACTCCCCAAAGAACCATAACGACACTTTACCATGGTGAGCAAATCGATTCGAATGCTCATTCTAATAAGTAATCGCATTGAAGTATTTATCTTAAAATACAATACTATAGTGCAGCAAATAGTACCTAAAGAAGGTCTTGTTTTTTTTTTTTTTTTTGATATGAAAAGAAGGTCTTGTTTTGAATTTGAGTTCATCGATTACAATATGCTTTAAGACAAACACAAACGGGACAAATATTAGAAATGCTACAAACATAGGATGACAGAACCAAAATGAATATGAAACTAACATGCTACGTAGATTCATTTAAATTTGACACTTCAATGCAACACAAGAACATGTTTTACCATATGAAAGGACAGATTTATCAATCCAAAGCACACATCATGCATAGTACCAAAGTTTTTGAGTTAATATCGTGACCATAACAAAAGAGCTAAGAAGCGCAAGATACACGAAAGACAAACCTAATAACATGGAGTCAGCAATAGTAAATGTATAGCAACAATTTTTCAGAGGAAAGAACAATATTCCTTTCTCTGACAGATTTGTAAACTACTTACCATCTCGTGGATATGAAATTGATTGCTCAATATATGCAGTAGTCCCTGAAAGTAACAAAATCTCAACACAATCAAATTATCTTTCAGCTAAAGATGAAGGTCCAATCAAAGAACACATTAATGTTGAACTCACACAAGAACACAACTAGTCATGACAAACAAACAAAAAAAAATTGGATAATTGAAGGTAAATCGACTTTTGGATATCACGACCAAAGAAACCAAGAAAGATCACCTAAAAGAATCGCAGTTGAATGTGTGAACGAACAGCAAACACATTTTCTTCTTCCCCTCCTTTCAAAAGCATCGATTCCCCTCTGCGTAACACACACGTCTTTGCCACTAGATTTACAAATAATTCATGTGCTAGCGCAAGTTCCATTTCCTTTCATGCTCAAAAGTGTTACCAAACCCCCATCTTGTCTTTCTTCCCATCTTTAACCCAATCCATTCCTGGACTACACACCAAAAGAGGAAAACGATACAGCTGCGTCCCTTTGACAAAATGATAGAAAATGAGGACCATCATGCCAACTCGTGGGTAATTATTGCCACAACGTTTTGATTAAAGACGACATTGTGATAGGAGAGTCTGAGGGTGGCGCCACCTCCTTATCTCCGACGTCCTTGATGGGTTTTCCATCTTCTCTAGTTTTGTCTAAGTTTTGAGAGTATATATTGCGAGACTAAAAAATTTAAGTGGTCTTAGGGCATTATTCTAATTTGTTATTTTTGGTGGGTAATTACCCTCATATTAATTTTTAGTTATTATTTAGTAGTAACTGACTCTATAAAGTAATATTTATCCGCTCGTGTCATGACAATTAATGAAAAAGATAATCGAGCCTAATATAAACACGAAAAAGATAGAAACGGGATATATTAAGGAAATAAAGAAAAATAATTCATAAATTTTCGAGTTTATTCTTTACAATTTTGTTTATCTTTATGTATTATCTCACAATATTCTAGTCAAAGTAAAAAATATTAAGTCAAAGTGTTAAGAGTCCACCAAAATATACATATTTTGTCCATACTACATTGTTTGCATTTGCGCTTGCGTTTGCATTTGTTCCGTCGGTGTGAGTTCACATTTGATATGTCCTGAACACCATAGTGACTTTTTCAATTTGAAACAAAAAATCAGCTAAATATATAAATCAAATTTCAAAGATTTCATGATAAATGCATAGACACCTTTTCAGATTCAAAAATTACATAAATATCTCCTGAAGTTTATTTGGAGTAAAATATAGTTAAACCTCTATAAATTAAATAGCATTGGAATCAAGAAAAATCTATTAATTTACCAAATTTTAAATTATGTTACTATTTTTGCAGAGTTCTAGTATGTTTATGTGCAAGCTCTTCGTTGGAATTGCATTTACTCAGTTTTTAGGTCTTTCTTCCATTAATACCAGCACAGCCTGAGTAAGAAAAGCAGACTTCCAAGTATAAAGTGGAAAGCAATTGAAATGCAATCATCACAAGAAGTTTTCACAAAGGTAAGATCGATTCACAACAATTCACCATATAAGTTGCTGCTATCCACATGGAGAAGTAACAAATGCACAGAGTAATCCACAACCTATTTCCATTGTACAAATTTACAAGAAAATGATCAAGTTGGCATACAATAGCTGATATTGAACAATAACAAAGAGCGGTTGTGCCTTGCTTATTGAACAATTATTTCTCCGTTATCTCACCACAATCCTCAATCACAACAGTCGATTTGGTAGTTCCACTATTGGAACCTACATTCTCCATCTCCTTAACCACATTGTAGCCATCCACAACCTTCCCAAACACTACATGTTTACCATCAAGCCACGGTGTCTTCACAGTCGTGATAAAGAATTGTGATCCATTAGTATTGGGCCCAGAATTTGCCATTGATAACAGACCAGGTTCTGTATGCCTTAGCTCGAAATTCTCGTCTGAGAATTTTGCTCCATAAATGGATTCTCCACCGGTTCCATTACCCCTTGTGAAGTCTCCACCTTGACACATGAAATTTGGGATAACACGATGAAATATCGAACCCTTGTAATGCAATGGCTTCCCAGAAGCCCCAATCCCTTTCTCTCCCGTGCACAGGGCTCGGAAGTTTTCAGCAGTTTTGGGAGTTGTATCGGCAAACAATTCCATCACAACTCGCCCTGCTTTTGCCTTTCCAATCAATATGTCAAAGAAAACCTTCGGGTTCTTCATTTTTCAATGAAATCTGAAAAGCAAAAGAAAATGTGGCATTTTGTTAATAATACTCTGCCAAAAATTGGCACAATCAATTTATTATTAAAAAAACGTGAAGTAAAATTGGAATAATGAAAAGTAAAATCTTAACATTCAACACAAAATTGTAATAGAGTTGGCCATTTGTATAATCAACCCTAAAATCTCAATTAATCCAGATTTTCCCAATGTGCCGTATAATTATTTCCCACAAGCAATTAAAACGAAGAATATGTAAAATTGAAAAAATGTTCATTCTATAATTAATCCCCTCGGAAATGTTAATGATTAATCAATGGGACAGACTTATAGATGAATTGATATAGCACAATTTTTGAGCTCTACGGGCTTTAATTAATTAATATACCCGTAAAGCCTTCGATCTGTGCTGCTTTCGTAAAACATAAATCCTAAACGCGAAACCCAGAAAAAATCTAAAACAAATTTGAAATAGATTTAAAGAAAATGAAAACATTATAGAGAAGAAGTTCATATATTCACCTTCTTTTATCGGATTTGGAAAATGAGAAGAAAGCAAGCGAAGAAATTTATGTGTTGAGAAGCCTCAACTTATAAAGAGGGAGATTGATGTGGCTGCTAGGGTTTATCATTTAGGGTTTAATGCCTTGTGCATTTAGGGTCTTCGACTTTTGTTTATTGATATTATAGTCCACGACTTTTTAAGTTTGTAAAACTTTAGAATTAAGTTGATGGTTTTCAATCAATTTGAGTATTTTACCAATTAAAAAAAACGATATACATCTAGTTTTAAGTAAAACACAAGAATAAAATAAACTTTTTTTTTTTTTTTTTTACATCCCAACCAAGGTAGAGAGACAACAAATTGGTGAAGGGGCATGGGAAAGAAGTAATGGATGTCAAGGAGGCGAGATGGAGTCGAGCTGCTTTTGTGTTGAGATTAAAGTATCTCAAATTCTTCCTCTATTTACTTTTTTTTTCATAGGTACAAACACTTAAAAAAATAATAAGAAATAAAAATTGGAATGGGATGGGACGACACTGGGCATTTTGCCATGAGGACGAAGAACAAGGAAGTTCTAGACCTAGAGCAAGTAAGAATATAAGCACTTGCCCCCACGGGCATGACTCGGTGGTATAGCAGGAGGGTTTTTTACTGAGTATAAAAGGCTAGAATCCTCGCGACAACCGAATGACAACATTTATGTTGGAGGACATATGTCTTGTGGAGACAAAGTCATGGTATGTTGTGTTACCCTTACGAGATCCCGTTTGCACGTCTTAAAAGAGATCCACATGGAGAAGAACTGTTTCATAAATGTTCGGTCTAAGTGTATATAGGCTTTAACCGCATCCAATTTATCTGGATGAAGAATCAAGATGAAGGCCGTCACCCTTCAAGATTAGTCGACCGAAACTTGGATATTAGAGAGAGAGAGAGAGAGAGAGAGAGAACTTTGCCCATTTTCTTTTTTCTTTAATTTTTTTTTTCTTTTAGTTTATTAAGGACTAAAATGCTACAAAGCGATTTCGAATAACAGGTCACCAAGGAACTTATTCTTAGATAGTCTTGCTTGTATGATAGGTTTTTAATTTAGTGCTTATAAATTATGGATCTTATAGTTGTGTAAATAATAGGTGGATCGTAAATATTAAATTGTGAGTCCTATAAAATGAATAGATAAAAAGTATATTTATCTCATGTGAGTTTAAGCATCCTTCTCGTGAATGATTAGAATGATCTTACAAATCCTTAAAAGCAACATTTCAACTAGCAGGGGTGGACCTGGGGGGCAGGTGCCCCCCACCCCACCCCCCAAAAAAGAGATTTTTTTTGAATTTTTTTTTTTAATATGAAAGGAAAAGGAATCAACATCCATTTCAAACCAATGTTTTCTCTCGCCTAAGTCTCCTCTTCTCATTTTCTCTCCTCTTCTTCATGGTAAAATTAAGGTTGTATATTGTTAAATGGATATGAGAATGGTTGTGATAATACTGAATGACTGAACAAGAATAGTTCAAAACTTCAAATCTCATTTATCTTTGTTTAAATGATTTATAGTTACTCTCAAAGAGTGGAAATTGTATTGCCAAATGAAAACAGTGAAAAGTTTGTCTCCACTCTATAGCCATTTCAAGTTCAATTGCGACAAAGAATTCTAAGATCTAACCCAAGGAAAAAGCTAGTAGGCAAGTCTTTCGTGAGCTATAGTACTGAAACCAGTACTAAACGAAGTAATTAGTGTAAAATGATTGTATACTTGGAGTAGATCAATGAATAGGAATAGAAGAATTCTTAGTTGAATTTAGTTACGTTCTTGTAATGCATGAGATTCACGAGTGAAATTCTCAGTTGAAGTGACATTTTTAAGGAAATTTCGAGAGTCTTTTAGCCTAGGAGAATCTAGTCCGACTGAATGTAATCAGAAGAAAGAGTTATGCAATATGATTGAACTTGAATGAGCAAGGATTGTTTCTCGGATATTTGATGCATCGAAAATAAGTCTGACTTTTACTATTTCCTAGTCCCTTGTTGATTTACTTGTTGCATCTGTTAAATAAGTTTCAGAATTTAAGAAATGTACATATAAATCTGTGACTTGGATTCTATCAAAGTTTGTGTAGCTCTTGATGACCAAGATTGTATACTCAATTTCTTTATTGATTTGAATTACGAAACTATATTAAATTTTTCTCTATTTCCCACTTTAATTATGGAATGTTATCAAAATATGATAATACGTAAAGAACAATTGTAATAAAATATCTCTTACTTTAATTTTTTCGTCACTTTTTGAAAGTTTGATTGTGCCCTCCCAACATAAAAAGTCTGCGTTCGCCCCTGTCAACTAGGCTCATGTTTGATGTAGTTTAATTTTCAAAAATTGGATAAAAATTCAAGTCAAAATCAATAATTAATTTTAACCACACATTTTATGGGTCCACAAATTTTATTAACTTTTCAATCCTCATGTTATCATTTTTTGTCAAAATTTACTAAAAATTTGATTTTTAACTACATCAAAAATAGGATAGTCTTATATCTATGATTACACTATCTAATTACACGTTTTAAATAATACTCCATGTGCTTTGGAACTGATTACTTGCCTCTCGATAGGAAGAAAAATGTTTACATGCATCCAATTTTGATCATGCGGATCCTAGTCCACAAGTTTCCCATGCTATAACAGCATGTTAGTGCTTGTCTGATATAACTTTAAAAATTGAGGTCAAATTAATATTACTTATTTCATAATTTTAATAGAATTTGCTAAAAAATTTTTATCAAAAGCTTTGTCAAACATCTCCTCACTCCTCAGGGCCAGTTTATCATGTCTTTTAAAAAGTCAAAAGGAGCCTTTCAGATTCAAAAACTTCTTTTTGACTCATTTGACTAATTTTATGAAAGTATTTCTTCTATTTAGAAGATATTTTAAAGGAAGCTGGTTAAACGTGACTTTCTCTAAAAGCACTTTCAGAATATGAAACTCTTTTAAAAATTAATTTCTAGATAAAAATTAAAGTAATTTTCTCCAAAAACTCTTCTATAGAAAGCAAAACTCGCATTAGTATGTTATGAATTGAACAAAATGATTAATGCATAAGAATAAATATAATTTTAGCACACTTTCTATTAGCCAAACATGCTCTTTTCTTAGTTAATAATTACTCTCTCTCTCTTTCTCTCCTATATATCTATCATTTGAGTAAAGTCTTCATTCACACTGATTTTTGGTCAATGAACCCAAAAATCAAGAATTTCAGAAAATAAGTGCAGTGTCATTTGGGATCTACATCTGCACTATATTTGCAGCAAACATGGCTAACCGATGGTGGACTTGGCAAGAAGGTGTACCAGGATTTGAGTCATCACCATCAGTTAGCTCACCAGCTTTGAAAAAAGCAAATCTAAGCATATCCATTAACCACCATAATCCAACACCATCACCATTCAAGGAGCCTGCTATGAATGATCACAATTCCAACGATGGTCTTGGGGGTGGAAGAGAAGATGAAGAAGAAAGAGAACAAAGTGATGAGCCCATCGAGGCTATCGAGGTCCCAACGCATAGGGCAAGAGGCAGGCCTACAGGTTATCGAACCTTCAAACTCCTTTATTTAAAAGTTTGAGCTGATAGAAAATTATGAACAATTCTTCTTAAACAAATTCCATTGCTTGATGACCAGATTTTATTTTTCAAGAACACGATTCACACTCATCTCTTCATCATTCACAGGTTCAAAGAACAAGCCAAAACCGCCCGTATTTGTGACGAGGGACAGCCCTAATGCTCTGCGCAGCCATGTTATGGAGGTGGCGAGTGGCTCCGATGTAGCGGAGAGCATCGCAGAATTTGCAAGAAAAAGGCAAAGAGGAGTTTGTGTGTTGAGTGCAAGCGGGATAGTCACAAATGTGACAATTAGGCAACCCTGTGACTCTACTGCAGTTATGACTCTACATGGCCGCTTCGAAATCCTCTCCTTGACCGGTGCTTTTCTACCTGGGGAGGCGCCACTGCAGGGATCCACATGGCTGACTATATACTTAGCCGGCGGTCAGGGACACGTGGTGGGCGGTAGTGTGGTGGGTTCTCTGGAAGCTGCTGGCCCAGTAATGGTAATTGCTTCTACATTTTCGAATGCTACCTATGAGAGGTTGCCTTTGGATGAGGAAGAAGCCGCTGCCGCTACCACTGGCACCAATGGTGGTGCAGAAGAAGGACAGGTTGACATTGATGGTGACGGCGGTGGTGGTAAGGGTGAAGCACAGTCGTTGGCCGCATATAATATGCAACTTCGGAATGGAGGAGAGTTGAACCTTAGTTCATTTTCATGGAATCATGGCCCTGCAAATTATTAGAGATGACGATAATCTCTATAACTTCTTGTAATTGTTCATGTTAATGTATGGTTCACAAGTTGAATGATATTAATTTGGGAAATTATAAATTTTTACCTTCGATACGTAACTACTACGTCAAATTCATTGTTTTTCATCAAAAGCCTATGTGCATGTATAATATTTTTATAACTTAATTTAAAATAATTATCGACTCTTATATGATCTTAAATTTATTCATTAATAATGCTATTTTTTAACTTTAGATGAATAACATTAGCCCCTCTTTGCTGTCCATTTTTTCTCCATTTCTAGAAAAAATAAATCCGTTGGTTGGGCCCCACTTGCTTGACAAAGTCGACTTTCTTCTCACAATTAATTTGAATTTGGTTTAGCAACGGTAAGAAAACTCATTCTCATTCTTGGAAAAATGAGTAACAAACGCAGTCGTAATCTTTCTTTATATATAAGTCTAACTTAGTACGACACTCTCTTATTTATATTTTGTACATGACAAATTTATTTTTCCACTAAAAGTCCAGTAAGTACATAATTTTTGAAAATGAGTAACAAAATTTCAATTTTAAAACTTCTTGTCTAAAAGTTCAAACATTCAGGAAACAAATAAATCATATCACATTTAACATCATTGTCTCATCTTTCTTCAAATGGATGAAACTCTAGTCCATGAAGTGCATCGAGTTGAATGGTATGGAAAATAGAATTGAAACATGTTGGTGAGGTAGTTGAACTAAGCTTTTCTTTTTGTCCCAAGAAAAATTAGTCAACAGACGAAGACAAATCCAGTTATACATAGTCAAACCTAACCCTCTGAAATTGTTTGACTAAATTTTCAAGTGTTTATGAACAGTGGTCAAAAAAGCATGATTAAACAATAAGTAATGGTTGTGAATCCTATTAAGCCCATGTTTGATCCACATTAAAATTTTTATTCTCATTCTTCTACTCATTTTCAACCACACATTCTTTAATAAAATAATATTTTCTAGCACATCAATAACTTTTCCTCTTTTTTTTTCAACCACGCATTCTCCATCAATCTACTATTCCAAAATGCAGTCTTCTAAAATAATGTGGCTCAAACACACCATAAATATATGAATAAAAATAAAGTTTTGTTTCGCGCGGGTAGTCGCTAACAATTAAAAGGAAATTCAGACGATTGTGTAATGGACAAACCTCTTGAGACAAAGTCCCAAAAAGGAGTGCTTTATTGATGAGAGTTACAATTGGAACTAAACAAAATGCCTCTAAGGAGCACAAGCATACGAGTACTGAAAGAAGGATAATTAAAGTTAATCCAAGAAATTGAAATTACATATTCTCTGTTTGAGAGTGTTTGATTCGGGCTCCTTTCATCTATATCTATTCTTTCATTTTATATTCCCATGATGATTTTTGCGTGACAAACTGCTTGGAAACTGGTACCCATTTTCTTCATGGTGCCTAATTTGTCGTGAAACTGTCATCTCTAACTGCTGTCATTACTCATCATTGTTCAATTGCCTTCAAAGGGGCTTCTTAAATCGTGGAATGTAATAATCAGCTCGATAACTGTCTCAATAACTTCTATTCTGGATAACCATAATATCTCACATATTAGGATTCTGAGCGACTCGAAGGTTTGGGTGAAAACAAGGTTGTCGCACTGAACGACAGTGAGGCACTCCATTCGTCCAAACTCTGGGCGTCATGCAGGCTTGGGCGACGATGTTACTGTGTTCATGGGTTCCCTCTGCACTTACCAATTACCTCATTTGGGCCTTTGTCCTGGACCTCCAATTGGATTTCACTCTTTGGGCTATTCAATTTGGGCTTTACTTTTAGTGTGTCAACAGTTGCGTTATCACATGTCATAACATCACTTTATAGAGCATTTTGACTATTGCCTGGTTAAAAGGATTGTTAGATGTATTTTACGGGTAATAATTNGAAGGTTTGAGCGAAAATGAGGTTATCGCGCTGAGCGACAGTGAGGCACTCCATTCGTCCAAACTCTGGGCGTCATGCTGGCTTGGGCGATGATATTACTGTGTTCGTGGGCTCCTTCTACACTTACCAATAACCTCATTTGGGCCTTTGTCCTGGGCCTCCAATTGGGCTTCATTCTTTGGGCTATCCAATTTGGGCTGTATTTTTAGTGTGTCAACAATTATCCCGCAATATGGCAGATTTAATACTAAGTATTAACTACACCATATTCACCTTGTATTTCCTAGGCAATATTTGAAATTCCCGAGAATTTCAATCATCACTTCTTTTTTCAGCTTAAAAAAGGTGCAACGTTACAAACTCTTATAAACCTAAAAGACGCGTCATTTCTTCGCACCACTAAACCACGTTCCTGTATTTCGCGCTTCTTCCCCGCTATTTTACTATTCATCTTCTTACTTCTCTGCTACGTTTCAACCTTAACACAACTGTACTTTGCACTCAATGGCGTCTTCACAAACTCAGTCTGATGATACTTTTAGTTTCGAAGATTTTCGGAATATTCTTACTAGACCGTATGTAAATGAAAATTTCCTCGCACCGGCCAATGTTGACCTCAATGAATTCTATTTAGGTCCATCATTCAATAATGCCGAAGCCATTGAACAGGTTGCGGTGGGCCAGTTGTTTTCTTGCAGCAAGGACCTTCCATTTCTGAACTCTTTGTCATTGAAGCCAATCCGCGATAAAGGTATTCGTACTTGGCCAAAACCTGATCCTAATTTTCGTAGATGGCATGCACGTATGATGAATCATGGTCCCACCAAAGCAATTTTTGATCGTGCCAAAATTTTGGACTTGTTAGAAATTACCCTTTCTCCCCCAACTTATGACCCGGTGCTCTTCCCAATAGCCCTGAGTTTCTGATCCTCTGAGTATAATACTTTTATCTTTCCTCTTGGTTCAATGTCTATTACTCTAAGGGATGTTGGAGGCTTAGTAAATCTTCCGCCCTTGGGCGACACTATCTTTCCTGGTATTTTGATTTCCAGTGTTGCCCCTTAATTTGACAAGAAGGTTGCTGAATCTTATTCAAGCATGCAGGGCCTTTATACTGATTTCATTTCTGAGCCTACCCATGCTGAGCGTGTTGCTTTCCTTCAGGTCGGCTCTATAAATATATTCTTTGTGTCCCCAACCTGAAACCTTCTCTGAGTTATCTGCCCCTATCGCATGAATTAGCATGTGGCAGACCTTTAAATTTGTGCTCCTTCTTTTTGGCCACCTTTTATAGAGGCATGACTTCCCTTCAATTCCAATTGAGGAATGGTGCGTCTCCTATTGGTAGTGGGCCCCTTTGGCTTGCTCAATTGTAGTTGAGAGCCTATTTTCCACAACTTGGTGCTCCACCGTCTCCTCCTCAAACAGTTAGCTGTTATGAGCTATTCATTCATCAAATGAGCCATGTACATATGTCCAGCAAGGACGTTTTTACATTCTTTTATACTTTGAATTCAACGTCTTCTTTCTTTCCCTTTTCTCCATATCAAATTCCTTTATACGTATGATCTCCTTCTACCTTAATCGAAGTGAGCACCTCTTTACCCATTTGGGTCAAGTTTTTGGTTGGAAGAGAATTGTTCCATGACATTGTCACGTGAACAAATGCTAAAGCAGGGGTTGAGATATATGCTCCCCAATTTTTTGCTCGCCAACTTGGTTTTGGCCAGATATGGCCTGTCCCTCCTTGTTATTCTAAAAGCTTGACGAGTGTTTCCATATTATCAGCATGACTGAAGCGCAAGCCATTGACATTCGTAATTACCGTTTAGCCGAAGGTTTCTCTTTAGCCCCTTTCAGTTCTACCATTGTTACACATCCTCTTTTTGAACAGCTTTGGCCATCAGTGAAACGTAGACTGTTTGCATCTGATGTTAATCGTGCCTTCCATTTACTGGATCAGTCAAACACTTCCTCTGCCTCTCCTATTTTGGCCGCCCCTATGTCCATTAGGAATCCTTCCTCACCAGCTCGCATTAGACGTTCTATTCCTCCGTCTTCTTCTCCTCCCGCCAAGACCACTACAGCCAAAGGCACCTCCAGCTGCAAACGGCCAGCCTCAACATCCCCCATTTTGCAAGATGATGATGATGATGATGCCCCTCTCATTTTTAGGAGAAAGGTAACCGAATTTGTTTATTTACAAACATACTTCTTTATGTACTAATGGTTTACCTGAATTCCTCAGAAGAGTTCAGCCTCTCCTTCGAAGGCTCTAGTTTTGGTAGGTCCTGCTTCGTGTCCCTCTGTAGAGGTTGCTTCGTCCAAATCAACTGATGAAAGGACTATACTCAAAGATAAACCCTTAGTCCCAGAATCTTCATTGCAACCAGTAGCAAGGTCACAGCCAATGGAAAAACCATCTATTTCCCAGGTCGTCGACCCCCCAAATGTTGAACCGGAAGGTAATACATATTCTAATGTTTTACCTTTGCTTGTGCTTCTAGTTTTTATTCGTTGATTTCTTGAATTATGTAGAGGCTCCCATGAAGCTGCCCGTTATGGCAGACTCTTCCCGTCCAGATAAGGGGAAGTCCCCACAAGTGGTGGAAGCAACTGGTGACATGCCTGAATCTCCTAGGATTGATGATACGGTAACCTTTTAACTTACTTTCATTTTCACTTTGCTCGTCATGGTGTAGGTCTTTATTATTGGCCTTTTCCTTTGCAGGGTGTTGATGACATTCTACGTTCTATCCAAGACTTGTTCACTTCCTGGGAACAAGTAAAGACACATCGCCCTACTTTCAACCAGTCATTCTTCTACCTCATCTTCCGCTCTTTCGGAAGAAAATATGAAGTCTCTCAAATAGTCAATATTCGAGTACATGTCTTTCATGGATATAGAAATTGACCAGGCTAGCGCTGCTAAACAGAATGATAAGTTTGAACTGTTGAGTGCAAAATTGACGCAAGCACTTACACTCCCTTCGTTCAACGTTTCTACTGACTTTAAGGCGACGTTGAGGGTTGTCCACTCTGACATTCTTTCCTTATTAGCCAAGCATGCAGACTTAAAGGTTAGAAGCACTAAATATCTTCGTACTTCATCTGAAAGAGAATCTTTGCTGTTGGAAATTGACAAAGTCAAGGGCGAATTAAAAGAAATCTCCTCTGAAATTATGGTCGAAGACTCTTTGATGATAAGCTTGGTTATGGAGATGAAGGAGCTTCAGGCGAAGATGAGGAACTGTAGGGTGAGGATAGTTTTCAAAAAGCGCAATGCTTCTCAGGGAATTAAACGAGCCAAAGCTTTGGTTGAGCAGTACAAAAAACTGGATGTTGATGAAGATTTTGTAACCGAACTGGACATTGCTTCTTCTCAGCAGAGCGAGGATTGGGGAAAACTTAGGGAAAAAATACATTCGGCTTGGGGCGAATTATATTTAAGACATCCAGTGCCTTAACTTTCTTCATGTAATTTCGCGTTAAATGCTGTTGTGAATTTTTATGTAACAACAGTTTTTTGTCATTAATGAACAACTATTTTGTTTACTTGCGTATTTGTTGACGTTGTCTTTAATCGTCAAACTCCTCAAGTATTTAATTGCTTTATGCTAAGATTCGCTTACATTCTCTCTTGGTATTCACATCTCTTTTCCCAAGACTTGGGCCCATTTTAATTTCGGTTATTATACACGAATGTGGCCATTCATATTCCGTCCTTTCATTTTCACGACTCTATAAATGCGCATGTATTTCACACTTATCATTCTCATTTTTATCATCTTCTTCGAAAACTGATATGCTGCCATCATTTTGGCACTTCAATAGTTGATCTAGAATTTTCATCTAAAATAGAAATGGATCGTTTGATTCATCCATTTTGTTATCGGTCTTGAGTTACCTTTGGTATGGGAGGTATAGGAAATGTTCTTTGGCCAGCAAAGTTCTTTCCATCGTCTCCACGTTCTCCAGAAGGAGTTCAATGATGGAAGATGATTTTGGGTAATTTTCAGGTCATTTCGCTTGCTGTGAGTGCTTCTCAGTCTCCTTGCCTATTATTGCAGCGATGCAATTAGGAAGGAGATTTTGAGGGTCATTTTCTTCCTTATTGCTTGTTGATAGTGCTTTTCATCCTCTCTACTTGCCCTTGCAGCAGTGTGATCAGGATGGCGATCAAGGCCAGTTCACCCTTTTACTTGGCAATCGACCGAGGAATTAGTATGTTCTCAATTGTAGTTGTTAGAACATTCAGTATTTTGTATTTCATACTTTGTAATGAATGTTTGATAATAATAAATGACTTTTCTTGAACGTACTTCGTTCCTGTGTTATTCATCTACGGTAGTTTGACACAATTTTGATTATACTTTTATTTGTTCACTTTCCCATAAGGAATGAACATATATTTTTAAATATTTGCCATTAATAAATCTCACGTGCTTGGTACCATCCAAATCTTCTAAATGATAGGCTCCATTAGGCAACACACTGTTTACTTTATATGGTGTAAGGTAGTGATGGCAACGAAATGGGTATGGGACGGGTTGGTCATTCTAACCCCATCCCGTCGGGTTTTGTTTTTGTTACCTTACCCCATCCTCATACCTACTTAAAGCGGGGCGAAACGGGTTCGGAGCGGGATCGGATCGGATCGTGGCGGGGCAAGTTTTATGCTCAATTTATCGCCCCATTTATTTTTTATTTATTTTATTTTTTATATCTTTAGTTAGTAAATATTATTATTTTTTTACCAATTTGTTAAAAACAACTTATGTTCTCTTAAAAAATAATGATAACTCTATTATTTTTGTTTGATAAAAAACATAAATTTAAAATTAACTTTAAACGGGGTGGGTAGCAGGGCGGGGATTGTGTTTTCCGTACCCGTCCCATACCCACTCCGGGACAATGAACATCGTCCCGTCCCCGCCCCGTTTTCCCGGTTCGGCGGGTAATCTCCGGCCCGTTTGGGACGGGACCCCATGGGTATCGGGTTAAACATGGGTTTTTTTTTTGTCATCCCTAGTGTGAGGTAGTGGTTGCGGGGTGGGACGGGACGGGATTGATTGTAATCAATAAATTAGTTAATTTGTGACCTATAAATAATATATGACCTAAAAATGTGAAATTTTGACTAAATTTGTAATAAGAACTCACAATTTGTTAAATTGTGGTCAATTAATTTAATAATTTATGATTGAGAAATAATTGTTATCAATTAAGTTGATAATTTGTAACAACGAAAAAAGTTGCGACTTATAGAATTTGTGATGTGTGATCGAAAAATATGCGACATATTAATTTGGTAATCTTTGATTAATAAATAAATTGTAACCTATAAAATTTGTAATTTGTGATCGAAAAATAATATGTGACCTATTAGTTTGGCAATAAAGAAATTGTGACCTATAAAACTTGTAATTTGTGAATGAAAAATAATATGTGATCCATTAATTTAATAATTTATGATTGAGAAATACTTTGTGAACTATAAAATTTGTCATTCTTGACTGTGACGTCTATAATTGTGACCAGTATGTAACCATGACCATAAATTGCATAATTCCGTGACCTTTATATATTTAATTAATAAAATATTTTTTCAATTAATTAGAATTTAATTAAGACCTAGTCTTTGAAATAGAAAACCTTATTTCTTAATTTTGAAATTGTATTTTGAAACCATCTTATATATGTAATATGTTCCCTTTTGAAAAAATGAGTTTTTTCTTTTTTCTTTTTTTATTTAAATGAAGTCCAATGGTTGGCCAAACCTTAAGGACCTTGGGGGTTTTTCTATCAATTTTGATCGAATTTTTTGAACAACGATTTTGGATTACTTTCAAACCACTCAAAATCGATATAATATAATTTTGATCAATTGTCTGAACCCACCAGATCGACTAATTTTTTCGCTTCTCATATTCTCTTCTAAGTTTACCTTTTATAAAATAATTACTTTCAACAAATATATTTTATTCAAAACAAACTTGTAAATAAAAATATATTAATTAAAAAATTATTAACAAGAAAAATTTACTAAAAATACTTATAAAATAAAAAAAATACTTTTACGTAAAAAAAAATTGTACATAAAGTAAAATTACTACTAATAATACAAAAATTCACTTATAGAATATAAAAAATTTAATTACAAGTAAATGATTCACTTAAAAATTATTTAAAACTATAAAATTAACTTATAATTGTAAACTTTACTTATTAGTAAAAAATACTAACTCAAAAGTTAAATATTAACTTTATTTAACTTCTTAGTTAAACATTAACTTTTTTAAAAAAATAGCTATTAAAAAATAACACTTTTGAGTAAAATAATTTCATACAAGAAGCTATAAACTAAAATTTTCACTTAGGGACAAATATGTAATTTTATTGTTTTAAAAAACTTTCAAAATTAGTGGATAGTAACTTCCGCTACTCATAAACGCTCAAAATTGATATTTTAAAAAATGCACATAACCGCTACCCCGAAACTCCCAATCAGGCCCTAAAGGTGTCATGCATGTGTGTGCTCAATATTGATGTCAAACCAATTAATTTGAACCTAAATCATAGAATGGAACTATTTTGGGTCCAAGGTGAATAGATACAAAACTCGAAATTTTTGACAAACTGTAACCGAAATGCATTACTAAAGAAAAATGTTACCTATCTAGCCAAATCTACCAAAACACGGTCTGAAAGGAGAGAGAAAACATTCGTTAGAAAAGTTCTACCCGATCGAGAATAACATTAGTCGGCTTCCAAGAGAAAAAAATGGTCTATAACTAGAGAGCTAGGGTGAAATGTTGCGGAGATTGTAATTCATCGTCTTTTCATTTTTCCTTCTAATGCAGGAGGATCCGAGTTAGACGAGGTCGAGCTATCTGATAGTACGTTAATGACACTGAGATACCATGAGTTGGCGGATCAACACAAAATTGACAAATAATCATCGACCTTTCCTAATTGGGGCCTTTTTGGACACGTTTCGGTATTTTGGCCATAACTTTGGCTACTGTTGTCACAATCACTCCCATGGCCCCAATTCGGAAAGCTCTTTTCGGCGCGCACATCGTGGTCACCCAGCTACGCTCTGTGTGCATCAGTTTTGAGGTCAAATTCAGCTATTTTCCCTTCCGAATCATCAATTTAAGTTATTTTTTGCCATTTTTAGTAATATTTCAATTTCCTTTTTGACATAGATTACGATCTCAAATTAAGCCAGATTTTGGGATCTTATTTCCGTCATTAAGTATTTCCTTTTGGTATGAATAATAGAATTTTGCTATTTTTGGTAAAATTTTGAAAATTATTATTTTCTAGCTATTTAACCCGGCTTGTGGGTTATTTTCGTTCAGTTGTTGAATAATAAAGATTTTCTCGTTTTTCTTGGTGTTATTCTCTTGCGTTCTTCTCTGTTATTGTCCATTGGTTCCAGCCTGCAGAGTAATGACTATTCTGCCTAGCTTCACCTTCCCGACAAGACCATGTCCTAAGAAAAAGTATATGACAAATCTGGAGTGTGTTAATAGTCACCATTCTCAGAAGAATGCTGCAAGCCATGAACGGTGCTATTTCTTCATTCCATCGATTGTGAAGGTATCAATTGCATGCCCTGTTGCTGAATCATAAATTGACTTCCACCAACAGTTTGATGAGTAGAATCAGCAGATGACCAGATGCCAAAATCTGGCACTGAAGCGCCACCAACTGCTGATGGCAACTTGTTCGAAGCAGCATCTCCTTGACCATCACCTCTAATATCCTTCTTAGAGTCTATTTGAAATGTATCAACAATTACCTGTCAACCCAATCAACTAACAAGTCAATAAATGGAAAAATCCCACATGCGTGATCATTAAACCTGGCTCGATCTGTCTGGTTGAATGCACCAAGTCACTGGTTTAATTGTGTACATAAAAGAAAGATATTGGTAGTTTGATTAACAAAAAACATTTATTATTACTTTGTCATGAACAATAACAATTGAGTGCCACATCGCCACATTTGAAGGTTTGTATTACATCCTGAAACTCATCAGCAACAAGATTATTTTGCTAAAGGTTCACTGTGGTATAGTAAACCAGGTCACCAGTTTACACTAAACTGTGCAATTATCTGGATTTTGACCAGTTCGCTTGTTTGCTGGTCAAGTAGAGTTTCCAGGATCAGTTTGCAAGCCAGGTCACCGGTCTGGTCCAGGTTTTACGACTCTGCCTACATGTCATACCATATGCAAAAGCTAATCTAGTTTGATCATATACAGTACTTAAATTTCCTTTATAAGCAAATAACATGGTAAAAGTCCACCTGAGATGTGTAATAATGGTAGGCACAGAAATTAGATAGCAACCGAATCAATTTACAAACCAAGTCATCGGTCCAATCTAGGTTTTACAACTTTGCTGATATGTCATACCATATTTGCTAGAGCTAACTGAGAGCATGAGTAAGGAGAGAGAAAAGATACAAGTCTTGTTACATTATCGCCATTCTCCTTTCTTATAAGTAAAATAAGCATGCACGCAAACATGCTCTAAGTTTTAAAGGCATGCAAACATATTCTATGTGCAGCATGGCGGGCTCATGTTTATATCATTGTATGCGTGTGCAAGAGAGAGGAAATATTTTGTTAATCGTACTTGTTGGGGAAATGTACAGAGTTCAAACAACAATAGTCACAGCAGAAGCAACAGTTATCAAAACAAACCTAACTCAACATAATCGACAGAAAGCATATCAAGGCATGAAGAAAAAAACATAGAAACTGAAGCTGTAAATAGAAGAAGTCTACTTACCTGCTTAGCCGAGAATCAGGCTCAGGAACAGCCCTTTCAATCATCGCACACCACCGTCCAGAAAGAGAGGGATTACAGAGAACACTCAAGGGGAAACTCTGTATTGGTCATCGATCAAAAGGATCTCTCAATAGCCACTGTTCTTCCTCACAGTTAGAGTAAATCCAAGACTAAAATCGGCCACTATTGCAGACCCGATTACCCACTTGTTTACCCTCTAAATGCTAGAATAATCACAGAGAAATCACCCAAGAGAAGAGAGAACGGACTCACACACAGAGAAACCCTGACGAATGAGAGAGAGGGAAGAAGGTTCGAGAATGGGAGGAGTCGAGTGAAATAAGAGAGGTGAGAGGAAATATCTCCCAAGAATTAATCTCAACCATCCAACACATCCAACGGTCACATTAAACCCAAACTAGCACAATCCATGTGAGCCCACTGCTACCAATAGGCAAGTGACACCTAAGCAGCTGGGACAAAATAATGCAAACAATACAAATGACACAAATAGCACTAGCCCAACAGTGTTATGGGAAACACGATTCTCACAGTACTAACAATGAAAGGTGTTTTTAGCATGATATATACGTAACAAGTCATATTGGATAGCAAGAATCTAAACATATCCAAAAGGACATTGCTATGGATGCATCATTTGGATGGTCTATTGCATTATTTCTCTTCTTTACACAGGCCGTTTATTTTGGTCTATCCACTGGTGATGGGATCTAGCATCACCCCGCTATTTGGTATCTATTGACCACTCATTCCCCATTGCTCCAATCTTAGTTTGTTGCGCACTCTATCAGTGGGATCTTCTTCAAGGACAAATTTGTCTGTGGTGGAGGAATCATTAGAGACCAGGATGGACAGCATATCAGGACGTTTTCATCTCATGGCGATTGTCCTGTTCTTTAGGTGGAGTTACAAGCTATTCTGGACAAGATTCTTCTCGCTAGAAGAATTGAACTTTGACTTCTGGATAGAGGAAGATTTCTCTTTAATTGTTCACTGGATCACTAACGAAGGTAGGTTGTGATCTACCCAAAACACTCAAACACATCAGACATCATCTTTCACTTAATCGAGATATGAGGAAAATCAGGTTGCTGACTCACTTGTCACTGTAAGTTGGGAACAACGTCATTACCAGAAGTATAGACCCCTAGACCTTCATCATCGATTAGGTGCGCTCTGGTTCAAATTGACAGACATGGTATGCCGGTCTTAGAAGTCTTTAGTCTAATTTTGCTAATTTTCTTTTATATGGAAGGTAGTACCTCCTCATTTACTGATTTCTTTACATTTGCTGCCTTTTTAGAGGTCAGTTTACACTCCTCCCCCATGTATTCTTGCAAATTCTATATATCTTATGGTTAAGACATTCTAAATAAAAAGTAAAGCATGTAAAACACAGACCCCGCCACCAATGATTTGTCCATCAGTACTGGACAGACACACAATAAGTCCTCCAGTTCTCCCTCCTCCAATTTCAGCACGGATGTAAGATCCAGTAAGAGAAAGAATGTCAAATCGCCCCTGATATTGAACCAACCATTTTAGATTTGTATCCTAATGGTGGAAAACAATGTAAAACACTATAGAAGTCTCGTCTGATGTGCCAAACTCTCTTTTCAAACGCAACCAATTAATAAGGCAGTGATAAAATATACTTAAATAATATTTTCAGATACTGGCCAATTAATTCAATTATGTGATTAACCAATTGGAACAAAATGCAGGAATAACATAAAATTTAACCAGGTCTCAATGAAATATTTTAATTATATCATGAAATAATTTAGAAACATAAAGTAGAATAAAAGGTTTCACTGGAATTGTTTGTGGCAAACTGTAAGGGAGGAAAATGATTCTACTTTTAAAACCTTTATTCTACTTTATGTTTCTAAATTATTTAATGATATAATTAAAATATTTCAATGATACAATTTACATTGATGAATCAAAGATTGACCCTGTCTGGTTTTGATAAAAATTGATGAAATGTGTGATTGAAAAAACGATAAAAATTGTTGATTTCATGAAATGTGTTGTTAAAATTAATTCTCGACTTTTACTTAAACAATTATCAACTTTTTTAATTAACCAATCAGTGTATAAATGCTGTCATTATGTCAGCTGCCAAATGCCAAGAAAAGTTACTGCATTCTGTAAATATGCTAGATTTGATTGCTTTTTCTGCTCAATAATTTGCAACACCGGGCATTTACGTTGTAATTGTTCACAAACTCATAGACTATGATTATAAATGAGTTTTCTAGTATAGTTAATATATAGTTAATTACAATGTCATTGCTAATAGAAAAGGAGTGATATGTAAATACAATGTTCAAGAATCCATTTGTCACTTACAGAAATAAAGTTGAAAATCAACTTCACAAGACAATCAAGGTTCTAAGATTCAATAGAAGCGGTTAATACCATTCTTCATTTTTTTTGATGAATTATGTGCTAAGTATAATATTATTCACCAATCGTACCATATTCTCCTTGGGAAATGATATTGTTAAGAGGAAAAATGAAACTTTAAAAGACCTTGTTAACGCTATGCTTATTAGCTTTGTCTTACCACATAATTGGTTGGGAAAGCAATTTTAACTACTAACTTTATTTTAAATAGAGTTCCGCACAAGAAAACTGGTTCAATACCTTATGAATTGTGGAAATACAGAATGCTTTCCTATAAATACTTAAAATGTGGGAGTGTTTAGTGATGGTAATTATTTCACATCCTAAAATGATCAAGTTATGTACTAAAATAGTTGATTGCATTTTTATCGAATATTAAATAAATAGTAGATAATATAGATTTCTTGTAAATAAATCTGAAATAAGTGGCATTCATATCAATACGATTATTTGGTCCAGATATGTCGAATTCCTTGAAAGGAAGCGTGTTTCCTAATAAAAAAAGGATACCTCCCAAAAATATTGGAAAAATAAAAATTAATGATGTCTTTAAAAGCAATAAAGAGTACAGACCAAAAGGGATTAAAAGCAAAAGTTTTCTAAAGGGAAGATTACATAACTAAAAGCTCAAGTTTCCTCAATTTCAAATTTAAGAGATAAGGTTTAAAATTTTAAATTCTAAAATTTTAAAATTTTATTTATAAATAAATAAATTAGACATATATTTTATTAATTAAATATATTAAGGTCGCAATTCTATATAATTTGGTTACAAGTTATAAATTAGCTGACCACAAATTATTTCATAATCACAAATCGAAAATTTTATAGGTCACAACTTTTCATCGGTCACAAATTTATAAAATTAATAAGTCACATATTATTCATTTGTTACAAATCACAAATTTTGTATATCACAAATTATTTTAACGTCACAACTCAAAAAATGTATAGATCACAATTTGTTTATCAATCACAAATCAAAAATTGAAACGTGTCAATTTATTTATAAGTCACAAATCACAAATATTAAAAGTCACAACTTATTAGACAGTCACAAATTATCAAATTATCGGTCACAAATTAACAATTTTTTAGGTCACACATTATTTTTGGTCACAATTTATCTTTTTCATTGGTCGAATATTTTTATGGTTCACAAATTAATCAATTTAATGGTCAGCAACAACCAAATAATATATGACCACCACCAACATTCGTGACTACCACCTCTCGAATGTCACCAACAGCATGGAAACTGAAACTCTATTGCTAGAACTGCCGCCGCCGCCACCTCCCGATAACAAACTATCATCTAAAAATACTGACATCGCCACGACCACCACCACCCACCCACCCATGACCACCGCACCTCCCATCACTAAAAACACAGAATCTTCACCACCAACCCCCCTCCCATCCCACAACCCTACCGCCATCGTTGTTCCCATCGCCGACCACCACTAACACTTCCACCATCTACACCACCCAACCACAATACATCATGGCACTAACCTAAAGTAGCAACACCACTTCACTGTCTCCGCTGCCACAACCTCCAATAAACTACCACATTCAACTTCAAAACTACCACCACGACTCACTATCACAACCACTAACAAATCACCACTAACCGTTGGATCCACTACCGCCGCCACTACTACCAAAACCAACAAACCCCATCTAATCCACTGTCGATCCAACAAAACCACCACCACAACCAAATCCACCACCGTCGCCATCAACAAAAACCATCCCCAAATCACAAAGCATCGCACAACCCACCATCACGGCATCACCCCACTATCGCTGCTACTGCAACAGCAATTGCAAACCATCAGCAATAAATCACGACTCCACAACGTCCATCAACCACCACAAAATCACGACTCCCACGCAAAAATTGCAAAAAACTCAGAAATAAAAAAATGCAACGGTGATTTGCACGAATAAGCGTCGCTACTTCGTGTTTGTGCACAACACCGCCAGACGAGGCTGCATCGTCTCGTGGAGGCTAGGCCGCCGACGAAGAGGGAGGAAACTGGAGAGTGGAGAAGAAAGAAGGTAGAGAGGGTGAGAAGTGAGAGTGACAGATAGGAAAGAAAACAGAGAGAGTGAGAAGAGACGGATAAAAGAGAATGAGGAGGAAATTGGAATGAAATTAATTAGGGTTTGGGATGAAAATTGTGCAATTAATATTTAAAATAAAATATCTGATTTTTGAAAAGTGAAACCTTTAATTTGATTTTTGAAATTGAATCTTTAAAATTTTGATTCTATGTAATTTCCCCTTTTCTAAATC